CTCAACAGTAGGTAGTCATAATAGAGGTTCCCTTTTCATTTCACAAAATGACAGGCTGATCTCACCCAGCCAAAAAAAAAAAAACCAAAACAATACTTATAAACTTTCTTGTACTATATAAGGATAACAAGGAAATTAATTGGGATTTGACCCATACAAAGAAGAGATATGTGAAGGATATGTGAAGGAAGTAAAACCAAGTTCAGTCTTCTCTGCCCATTTGACTTAAAACCTTAAGCATGGAGATAGCCAAGAATGCTCTGTGCAAAGAGATTAGTTGCTTCTTACCTTCACCTCTTAAATATCCACTTTGGTAGATCTCTGAATCTTTGAGAGTTAATCTCACCCTTGTTAACATTTCTGATGTCTACATAGACAATATTATTAGGGTGAGCCATGTGAAATTGCCAATGTTTGATAATTTTTACCAACATAAAAGACATGTGGTTCAATCAGTAGTGCAAGTGTTCTTAATCTGATTTCTGTTGACCCCTAATTGGATTCTGAATGCTTTCGAGAGGGTCTTTCTGCTCCCTAAGATTGTATGAAGGTTTTATGCCTCACTGTCTATGTGACTTCCTTTGGGAGAGAAATAAAGGGCACATATGTCAAAATTTTTTCTAAGGAATCTGTGATTTTCTTTTCACAGCAAATTAAGAACCAGTGGGCAGTCAAGTGAATATAGAACTTAAAAGTAAAATACTTATATTCCTACCTCTCTGGAGGTAGTTACTTAAGCTCTGAAAACTCAGTTTCTGCTTATATAGTACAAACTTTGTATACTGGATATATTGGAGAACGACAATCTCATATAGGAATAATAACCTAATGAGCTTAATCAGTGATCCAGCAATGCATATCTGGAAAATTTTAGTACTAAACAAACAGAATGTAGTGTATGTCTGCTTTCTCCTGTTCACAGGCCTGGAATCAGGAAGTGCCATACATGAGTGAAAATGGAAAGACTCAGAAAAAAATAACAACCCAGACACTAACCAAAAGTGTTTTCGAACCTCAAAGAAGATTCTTTTCAATTTTGTGGTGTAGGTTCAGGGTCTGCTATCAATGACCATCACAAAGGATGACCTGGAAGTTGAAAGACTTAGCTTGGGAGTATATTAGGTGTGTCTGTACCTAGCAGGCAGACTAAAGAGGGTTTTCTTTTTTCTTTTTTTTATTTTATTTTTTGTGTATTTATTTATTTATTAAGATTTATTTATTTATAAGAGCACTGGGTACAGTCAGAAGCGCAGGAGGGTGAGAGAATTCACCAGAGCCAGAGCGGGGAGCAGAGCAGGCAGAAGGACCGAAGTACACTGCTGAAGGGAGCAGCGGGCGGCAGGGGAGGTCTGCACGCCATGCGGGACCCTCCTCTGGTGGACGGGGAGCAGCCGGGGATCGAACCGGTGCTGCATAGGCTGCGGGCAGCTTCGCAACCCAGCACTCAACCGCTGAGCCGCCGGGGAGGCCCTAGAGGGTTTTCTTAAAGCCAAACAGTTCTGTATCAGGAAAACATTCTTTCATGCCTCACCAGTGGCCAGAGGTTAGATCTGTGAACAGGCTTTGGATGAAAAAGCAGCTGAGTATGTGGGACTGGTTTCCCAATTTTGTCTGCTAATCAGTCTCCATCCATCCATCCCTCTATCCTTCCATCCATTCAATCTCTATTTTCTGTTTCAAAGTATGTTGCTAATTTCTCTAGCAATCCCTCTATCATTCCTCAATCCTGAAAATGACTTGCTTTTCCAAAAGAATTTGCTCCCTTTTGAGATCTAGTTGAAGTTCCTCTTCTTCCTATGAGCCATGTGCTAATTAATTTTATACCAGCCATGTAATACGTTAATGCAATTTCCTTGTTCAAATGAATAATAAAACATTGCAGATAAAGCTAACATTCCCTTTGACCTGTTACTATCTTAGATTTTCTTCTGGGTCATGCCTGGTGCTCATTTCAGATCTGGGTATTCCTTAGGAAATACATCTGGTATGCTTTGTGTCGAAGGGGGCAGCTGTTCACATAATGCTTTTAGTGTGTGATTGGAGGAGAGTCATGCTTGTAGTGGCAGAGGTAGCGTGGAAGTGGACATGTCAGTAGAGCTTCATGTTGGCAAGTTTTTGTTCCAGCTGCTACCTGACTTTTATACCTGGATCATTAAAGTCATAATTTTATTTAAAGTAAAAACAATCTGGTTGTTATATATACTAAAATAACTGTGACTTGGATGTAAAAGGAACATCTTTTGAAAATATCATCTTTGTTTGAATAAGGAATTCTCATTTAGTGTTCTAATTATACTGTTAATTCTCGTAGTTTCTTTGTCTATATGTACAATAAACAGGTTTTTAATAATAAGCATATATTGAAATGGATTTTCTGAAAAGTCTATTAAAAAGTTACATATAAAAACATGATTTTAGACTCCTTTTAAAAAGCAGATATAATGCTATACCGAGAACCTCAAGTCTTTCTACTTCTTATGGAAGCAGAACCTGGAGTACCAATGTGCAATCCTAGAACTATCAAGTTAAACGAGCCTATGCATTTCAGAGAAGACTAATTATTTAATATAACAAAATGTGTGGATCTATGTTTAATATTTACATCTTATTCTTTACCTTTGTGGAGTGCAAAGAGGACAAAAAATATATCTTTTTGGAAATTAGAATTATTAAACATGGAGTCCTCACTAGTTGATAGGCACTTCCTGTGTGCTTTAACGTGACTTCACTTAATCTTCATAGTAGCCACACAAGATAGGTAGTATGTCTGTTGTTCAGATGTGGAAAGAGGTACCCTTTCTGTCTGGTAGACAGAAAAGATGAATTGCTCAGATTTACCCAGCACCTAAAGATGGAGCTAAGATTCAAACTCAGGGTTCTGCCTAGTCAATCCTCTCTCCAGAATGTGAGCTTTCTTGCTTTCTTTTCCCTCCACTCTGATTGATTTTGAACTTATGGTGCAGTGTCAAACTAGTCTCTGCTTTTGAGGCACCAATAGTTGTATGAGAGTTTGTATTTTTCTGGTTTGACTGGCTATCGTGGGACATGCCTGGTAGGTATTCAAATGAGGATGAAGTCTGGTGACCTTTCTGGTGTCATTATGAGAGCAAAGGCCAAGACTGACTGGAAATCTTGGTATTGACACTTTCCTCAAATCAAGGTACAGACACACTGCCACCAGGCATATGTTTTCAAATTCAAAGCGATCGGTATTCAGAGACCCATGGAGCACAGAGACATATTGCTGACAGATGTAAAATGAGCTGAAGATTTTGAGCATGGGCCCTCAACACAGAGAGATTCACACCATAACACCCACCCCTAATAACTAGTTTCAGGTGGGGTCTATTTTAAGACCCAAGAGATGGCAGTAAGACTGTGCTCCCTGTTACCCAAGCTACCCTCCTCTTTGAATCTGAGGCCTGTTGGGGTTTACTAAAGCCACCATGTGTGCTTGTTTGGACACTGTCTACTCCTGCCTCAGGAATCAATGCAGATCTTTCTTCCAGGACTCAAGTCTCTTTTGTGGTACATGAAAAAGAAGAGGTTATGGGTGTTCCCAGGGGACTTTGATGCCCTTTGCTGCTGAAGTCGAGGCTCTGCCTTAAGTTCTTGGTTACCTTATGGTGTGTTTTATGTCAAACCATCATCCAGCTAGAGAGCAGGGATCTCATATTGCAAGCCATAACCTATGGGTCTGGATGTTTCTGAAGTTCTGAAAGAATATTTATTACTTCAAAGAGAGGAAATGAAAAGGGGGAAAATGACTCTGTAAAAGGAGAAAGTGGCTGGTCTTTCCGTCAAAGGAGGAGAGGAAGAAGGGAAAGCTGTACTGCACTGACCACTGGAAATCATAAAATCACCCTAATTAAGCCAGCAGTGCAAATGGACACTATAAACACACCGCCAAGACTCAGAAAAAAAAAAAAATCAGTCTGTGGACAAGAAAGAATTCTTGTTAACAGGAAAAGTGTTTTACTCTCCTCTCCCTATTTTTAGAGGAGGTTCCTGCCATTAGTTGTTGGATATTGTTTTAACGCTGAGGACAGTTTTCCTGGGGCTTCATACTTTCAGAACCTGATAAATAGTTAAAGAAATGCACACAGACTGTTTGCAGTCCAGCACCAGATTCAAATACTGTACACCAGAGAGGGTTGAGATTTATTCCCAACAGTAATTGAGTGATGTTGCGCTATCGGAAATAAAACTAAGTTAGAATTGTTGCATCAATTAGATTATTTCAATCTGGGAAATAAGCTCTCCAGGTCATTCCTCCTTCGCTAGGATGTTTTCTTTTATATTAAAGGATTTCCAGGGACAAAACTTCCATGCTAATTTTGAAAGAATGTCTTATTGTAATCAGCCTAACCATCTAGGAATATTCATTATAAATAACTGAATTTTCCTGTGCTTCTGTGTTGGCTCATTTTCCAGCCATGGAGAGGGTAAATAATGCATGGGGCACCTGGAGGACTATATAAGAATAAACTCTAATCTCAGCCACACAGACTCTGCAATAGCCTCTTTCTATCGTGTCATTGTTCACTACTAAGTGAGAGGTTCTGATAAAATAATTTAGGGAGGATATAATGAAGAGGAAGGATTAGTAGCCATACCAGTGCAGAACAAAAAGTCTGCTTGGTAATCATCTTGTCCTCTCACTTTGCAGATAAGGAAATATTGATTGACTTGGCAGTGATTTGTTGACTCCACTTTTGAGTCATCTTTTTGAGAAATTTAAGCATAGGTTAGATAAAAAAAGAAAGAAAGAAAGAAACAGTTGAAGTAAGACGTTTTGGAAAAACTTCTGAAATTTGTCTTCATCCCGTCTAACTTTGACCTTTGATGTAACCTTGGATATCTTTCTGTGCCTACTCCATATTTGTATCATTTGCAAAGGAGAAGGAAGCTTATGCTTTACAAATGGTGAATTGTCTGTGCCATGTGCCTCTGTAGTCCAAGAGAAATAATGGCTCAAACAAATATGTGTTTGTGCCTAGGTGTGTTTCAGTAGACCAGGAGTGGCTACGGCAATTTTCATTTTCCTGACATCTGTTGGACTGCTTCCGGGAGGACGTCAGCAACCAGCAGTGACACTCCATCTGACCGACATTAGTGGAAACAACCACTCTCTTGGTGAGTCTGGCAATTATTTTTTAAAAGATGTATTTATTTATACAAGAACTGGAGTACAGGCCAGAGGTGGGGGGTGGGGGGTGGTGAGAGGATTCACCAGAGACAGTGGGGAGCAGAACCAGAGGATTGACTGAAATACACTGCTGAGGGGAGCAGCGGGCGAGACAAGAGAGGTCTGCTGCACCATATGGGTAGCTCCCTGGCCTGCCAGGGATCGAACTCATGCTGCAGTGGCTGCTGATAGCTTCACAGTCCTGACGCTTAACCCCTTGCACCACCAGTGAGGCCCCTGACAATTCTTTTTTTAGTGCCACTAGAGGACAATTCAGTAGACCCAGGCGTCAGTTTGATGTATATATCTGATATTGCTTGGGACCTTGCCTACATCATACAGCTGGGGAGATGATAAAATGAATACTAGATATGGAAATATAAATGGCCTAAAATATTATTCATCTTACCATTTCTCTTCAGGAACCTATGAGCTGTCATGCCAGCATAACCCACTGGTTATCAATGTGACCCATCACCCAAATGAACTTCTTCACCATACCACCTCAGTGCTGCTGAATTTCTCATCCCCCTTGGTGGGCATCTCAGCGGTGGCTTTAAGGACATCCTCACATATAAGTCCTTCAACTCCCAATAGCTGCATCCCAGAACATGAGAGGCAAAATCATCAGGGACAGAGGTACATAGACACCTTTATTTTTTTCTTTCTTTTTCTAGTGACTGGGATATACTGCTATCATTTCCATACAAAGCCTTGTGTATGCCGAGGGAACTTTATCACTAACATAAAATGGGTCTAAAAATTACTAAAAACAAAAATGTAAAAAAATAAGAAGCAAGTAAAGAAAAATTTGTAGAAGGCACACTTGGGTTTTATATTTTGCATTTCTTCCTTACATAGTTTTTTATGTAAATATGTAACATCTTTACAAGGTCTTAAGATCTTTTTTACATATAACACCACTGCCTTCAAATCAACATTGTTAGGTTAACTGCCAAAAATTGTCTGCCAAAAACTCAGTGTTTCCTAAGCAAGGTGTATTTTTTTCACTTGTTCACACCTGGAGAGTATATATAGCCAGTTTAACAGTTTCTTTTTTTTTAAAAAGATTTATTTATTTATGCATGCGAGAACTGGGGTATAAGCCAGAGGGTGTGGAGGGTGAGAGGATTCACCAGAGAGAGTGGGGAGCAGAATATGCAGATATACTGAAATACATTGCTGAGGGGAGCAGTGGCGAGGCAGGAGAGGTCTGCTGTACTATGTGGGCTGCTCCCTGGTCGCTGAGGATCGAACTTATGTTGCAGTGGCTGGTGATAGTATAGCTCTGTCTTTAACCCCTGTGCCACCAGAGAGGCCCAAGTTCAACAATTTCTAATGCATGTCATATAGTCAGTTTGAGCTACATATGGAAATCGAAATGTACTAGCTTTAGGTGTCTTTCTATGGACATCTGAGATTGTCATTATCTACCAGATTTTTCCTGGACTCTCAGCTACAACTAGCAGGGACTATGCTTCATAGCATTGCTTTGCCCAAGGTTGGCCCTGATGGGGAAGGGAGCACACCAAACACAATAATCTGTTCTAGATGTGCTGGACTCTTTTTATGGATGGTCTAGTCAATTGAGTGGGGCTAAAGGTAGCAAGGTTCATTCCTTTAAGGAAGACATTTTCAGGCAGTTATGATCCTATTCATAAAAACTGGACAGTGTTCTATCATTAAGTGTTCCAGACAATGTTCTATCATTAAGAACAATGCCCAACATAGGTATCCTATAAACCTAACCTTGAGTAGGGAATGGGAATAAACTTGACTATATAGTATACTAGTTCGCTATTGCTGTGCAGCAAATTATACTAAGATTTATTGATATCACAATTTCTGGGGGTGAAGAATCAGGATGCAGCTCAGCTGGGTGCCTTTGGTTTAGAGTCTCATATTAGTTGCTGTCAAGCTCTTGGCCAAGGCTGCTGTTACCACAAGGTTCAAGTGGAACCAGAGAATTCATTTTCAACTTCATCTTGTGGCTACTGGCAGGTCTCAGAAGATGTGCATCCAAGCTCACGCATATAGGTGATGGCAGTGGGCAGCTCAGTTCCTTGCATTGTGGGCTTCTTCATATGCTGCCGGAGTGTCTTCAAGACAAGGCAGCTAATGATCCAAGAGAGAAAGTGAGCCCAAATGGCTATCCAAAAGGAAAGCCAGCCTTTTTATAACAATGTTGGAAGTGACAACCCATTATTTCTAGCATATTCTACTTATTAGAAGTGAATCAGTAAGTCCAGTCCACATTCAAGGACCATTTCCCGTATGCAGTAATGCTAATTGAGCACTATGTGCAAGGAAGAAATAGTGAGGGACAGTGGAGAACACTGTTACCTTAACTAGTTCATCTGCAACCTTTAAGTCTTCTTAGTGAGGAGACATCTTCAAATATTAACATAAAAATGTAGCCTATTATAATAACACCATTTACTAGAAATATTGCCTCTCTCTCATGTGTTTTCAAGTTTTCTCTATTGGCTCTACCTCTGGCCTCAAGCCATACAGAATTTCTTTTAGGTCCCTGAAACATGTGTTCTTGATGAGCTACATGTCTTTGCACATAATGTTCCTACTTTCTTGAATGCCTTCCAGTCCTTCCTCACTTTAACTAGCACTTCACCATCAGGATCCACCTCCTTCTGTGAAGTTTTGGCAAACTCCTCCCAGTTTTCATAGGACATTATACACAACCCTCACTCTACAAAAGTCTCCAAGACATTAGGTGGTAACTATTTATTTGTTATTCTTTCCCACCAAACTCTGAGCTGCCTACAGTGGGAACTTTGTTCAGTATCTGTCAGTACTTAAACAGGAGGTCTACATAGTAGGTGTCAGAAACTGTGCCCTGAAGGAGAGACAGACTTTATCTCTATATATTTGATGGAACAGATCTGAACAAACAAACTAGAAGTCACAACGTCTCTAGACCTCAAGGGACAGAATTTCCTTCACTGTCACAGCCGGGAAATTTTGACAAAGATATTGATTAATTGTGAGCACTGCTTCTCGTTCTCCACTTATTTTCATTTGACACTGTGGGAAAAACAAGATTTATATGCATGCATACAAACCAATAGAAATAGAATCTGATTCTCTAGTTTATACAGGGTGTATTTGGAATGCATAAGCATTTCCAGACCACATGTGACTGACAGGAGCCATGCAAATTGGCTTTTCCTTCTCAGCCAACACATCAGTATAATATAGTTAATTTTGATATACAGGGAACCAAATAGATCCGATATGTTTTTTTTCCTATGAACTGATTAAAATCTGAGGTCCTCAAAGAATAGATCTTTTCATATCGCTTTATCAATTACAGTTGTACATAGATAGACCATAATATGAAACCCCCAAATTCTGGGCATAGTGAGAGATTCCTGACTACCTCCTTCTTCCCCTTATGACCTGAATTCCATTCATACTTAAATGGGCAAGTGAGAGCAGACAGATACCTGGCAGTAGAAGATGTGTTGTTTATTTTATATTTGGCCATTCATGACCAATGCCTGTCCATCCTATGACACTGCCTCTAAAACAGCCTGGTTGGTCCACAGACTCTCAGCTGAAGGTTATGAAACCCAAGTCTGGTTCTCCAGTGATGTTTGCGAGCCTAACCTGGACCCTTTGACTTTATTTCTCTTTGTCTTATTTCCATTCTGTTATGGTGGTTATTCAGTTTATGAACCTTTGGGTTTAGTCTGCTGATGTTGAATCCTTTAACCTTGGGAATAAAGTTTACTTCTGTTTTTGGCCACCAGTGCCTAATAAAAATCTTAATTCATTCTTTTTCTCCAACTGTTTCCAGGTATAGTCACTTTAGGGAGAGGTCTTCATGAGCTGCCACAGTATCTCAAAGGCTGCATGGCTTTGGGAATGGGGACCATCTTTTGATCGATGTAGTGAGATTTGGAGAGTGTCCAAGATCTAATCCAGGCAGTAATATGTTAATTTGCCCAAATGAGTGAATTGGCATGAAGAGAATCAGGACTGTTGTCATCTACTTTGGAAATTCACAAGGTGAAATGTAGAATAATTTACCAATGAGCAAGAATTGCTGATGAGCATGTGGTTTCTCTTATGACAGAATTTTGTTCTAGTCACATGAACACAATGAGAAAATAAATGTAATTTCTCTAATCCTACCTGAAGTTAAATCCATAGGCCTGCCCAGTACCAAATATTCTAAAGATAAAGAATATTATCTCCTTTTCTAGGGCATGAGCTGATGACAATGGTTGAAACTTCTGATTAGTCATCATTTTTTCAACACATCCACATTTCCACTGTTTCAGTTTTCTATCTACCTGAACTACAAGAGGTTGAAAATGTAATTTAACCTTCCAAATAATCATGTTTCTCTTTTTTTAAAGATTTATTTTATTTATTTATGCATTAAAAAACTAGACCAGAAGTGCAGGGGGTGAGAGGATTCACCAGAGACAGAGTGGGGAACAAAACAGGCAGATCTACTGCAATGCACTGCTGAAGGGAGAGCAGTGGGTGAGACAGGAGAGGTCTGCTGCACTATGTGGGTCAGCTCTCTGGCTAGGGATCAAAGTCATGCCACAGCAGCTGGGAATAGCTTGATAACACTGATACTTTGACCCCTGTCCCACCAGTGCCTTACATTTCAAACAATTCTGGATTTTAATGATAGTTAGGTATATAACTGTTTGGATTTTAATGATAGTTAGGTATATAACTGTTATATCTTGCCAAATCCTTTGCCCCTTTAAATGAATTGGGCCTTGCAGTCTACTTTGTCCAGAATTAAAATTTCTAGCCCTGCTTTCCTTTTGTTTGATAAGTTTGCCTTTCTTTTATCTTTGACTCTTCTTTATCTTCATCGACAGTGAACCCAGAGCACATTGCTCCACGATGCTGTTTGCAGAGACAGTAGGATTTCATTGTGTAAAACTACTCTAAGCTTCATTCTGAAAATTTATCTCATGGTCCTCAAATCTCTGGTAGTTTTAAAATTCTGTAGTATGTTTACCTTTGGGATGTTTATCTCCCAGGATTCAGTGTCTTTGCCAACAATTCCCTCCCTTCCCCAGTCACTCTTACCTGACTCGCCAAGATCCTTACTCTTCCTGACCTGAAGTCTTGAAGTGAGGAAAGAAAGATAGGGTAGTATGAATAAGAAGGACAGTTGGGTAAAGAATAGATCTTTGACCCAATAGAATAAAGAAAGAATGACCTCTCTTTTTGTAGTATGTCTCCATACCTTATTTGCCTTTTTCTTTCTTTTTTTTGAAAAACAAACGAACGAATAAAAAATGGATGCTTTGATTATATTCCAGCTCGAATATAATTTAATCAGGAGGATATCTTCACAACTTTGGGCTCTCCTCCTTGGCTTTGAGTACTGATAAGAGTTTTATTACTTTCCTGTATTGTTGGTATGTAAGTGGAAGGCAGGGAGACAATACCTCATAGTATTCTTGTGAGATTATGTGGAAATACTGCATATGAAGTTTAACACATCCTAATGCCGAGTGGGAGCACCAGCCATGGCTTTCCCACACTGTTCCATATTTTTAATTTTTATCACCCTCCTTTCAGAAAGTATGCGTTATCAATTAATTTGTTGGCTTTCAGCTCCAGAGCACTCTCATCACCCTGCT